GAAAATGGAAAAAAGTGTCAGAGGTGAAAGAACAATCCCAGGCTCATGGGACGTGCCTCTCTGTGATTTTCCCAGCACCTTTCCAAAATGGCCATGTTGTGTGTGCATGTGTGCATGTGTGCATGCATGCAAATGCACACACACACACACACACACACACACACACACACACACACACACAACCTAAAGCTGAAACACAGCCTCTTACTTGGGTGTTCATGATGGAAGCACATCCCAGCCCAACGCTCCTGCTTTCAAACAATTTCTCTAATTGCTTTGACCTTCTATGGCCAATTCTGTCTTCCTCTCTCTCCCTCTTCCTTCCTCCTCCTTGTCTCTAGGCCTGTATCTCTAAACCCACAGACTCTCAAATCTCAATGTGCTTGAGTGTAAAACGTGGAGCTTTCTAAATATAAAGATGCCAAGACTTCCCTCCAAGCCATTGAATTAAAGGCTCCAAAGTTAGGCCCCAGTAGTTGCATTTTGAAAATGCTCCCCAGGTGATTCTGATGCTCAAGCTGGAGTTTGAAAACCCCTAGAGGTCTAACCTATTGAATCTGCATGGTGTTGGTATTTAACTGGATTGCAACCAGTCTAGGAAGATAGTTTCCATGGAAGTTGGGGTAGTAGGGTCTTCTACTGGGAAGAGTGCATTTCTCTTCAAATCCAAAGAGCAAGTCTAGAGATCATGGGAAGGAGCAACCCAGATTTTCAAATATGACAGTGAATGGAAACCACAGAGTAGGGTTCATTCTGAACAACCAAACAGCTGGTTAGAAGATCCAGGGGAGAGAATAGGTCATCAAAGCACTAAAGGAGCAATTGATTCAATCACTAGATATGGCCTGAGATAGAAGGGACTCGGGAAGTCACCAGTAGCAAACAGCAGACACCTGCCTCCTGCTGTGGGAGACAGCAAGCCTATTTCTCTTTTTCTCTGATATCCATTATTTTATCCCATTGTTATGATTTTGAAGAGTTAATGGAGTAAAAGTAAAATCAAGTTTGGCCAAGTAAGACTTGAACATTTCCTCGGCTATTAAAGTTGTTAGCCATACACTGGATAGAGGCTCCAACTAGCTGAACACTTAGCTTAAAACATTTCTTGTCACTGGTGTCTGTTCTAGATGTCTGCAGATGGCAGGGTGCAGGGACTTGGAAATGAAGAGCAAACTCAGGCTTGGGGTGTGGTTTCCTTGGGAAATGGGCTGTTAAGCCAAAGCCTCTCCATTTACTCTCAGAATTTCCACACCTCTTAAAAACTAGTGAGGGAGAAGTGATAAAAAAAAAAAGTGTCAGCCTCCTTTAGAAAAAGTGAAGCACCAAGAGAAGGAGGAATCCAGGGTCATATGGCATTATCATTGGTTTTCAATTCTACTTTCAGATTTGTTTTGTTTTTTAACCAAACATCCCTTCCCTTCTGCATATAATTCAAGACTACTTGTCTTATGTGGTTTAGTGCCTTCCTGAAAATATAAAAGGCTGCCAAATTAAGATGATCTGTAGGGTTCTCAGATTAGGGTCAGTTTGAAACTCTGGGCATTATCGCTTCCACATTGTAGGCAGATCACAATTAAGTAGCATAAACGTCAATCTGTTCAGTGCTGACTTTGTTCCCAGCACTTGAAATCACTCTGTCCATGCTCATGGGAAACAGAATAACATGGCCACTGAACTGGGGTTTGGAACCCCCAGAAAAGATTGTATGTGAGCACTGAAGGGGAGGCAGCAGTTAGAGGAAGTACCATATAAGAACACATGTTTCTAGCTCTTCAGAAATCTAGATGCCTGAATAATTCTTCATCAAGAGGATCCTGTTGACCTCTGCTCAGCCAATGCCCTTCTGATCTAGGGCCCCCAAGAATATTACATTCTGTGTGGCACAGTAAAACACTTTGGTCTGTGTTTTCCTGGACTTATGCCCCTCCCCACACTACTACCTTTGGGGTCATCTTCTTCCCAACACCACCCAGTGCTTCCCTCCTCCACTGGTTTCTCCATGATAAGTTCTTCCAATGATTAAAAAAAATAATTAGCAATGAAGCTTAAAAATAGGATTAGAAAGAAAACTTAATAACAAATCATATAAAGGAAATATTTTTCAATCACAAATAGCATCTTCTGTAGTACCTGGATTAGTTGTGGTTCAGCAAGAGACTTTGGGAATAAAAGTTTAATGTTTTAACCTTTCATAAGTCAGTTGTCAACACTATACTTTGTCTTGTCAGCCCACTACATGTCTGGACATACTGGGAAGATATCCCTCTCTCTCTCAATCTTTCTCTCTCTCT